GGGGGGGGGGGGGGCAGCTCCCAACCGCTGTGCATCCCACTAGGGGAGGCATGGGGGACATATGCCCCTGGACCTGTGCATGGGGCAAGGGCAGGCTGCCCATTGTGGCCTTGGAGGCTGTGCTGGCCTCTTCCCAGTGGGGGGAGGGCTGGGTTGGAGCCACACTCAGGGAGGTGGGACAGGCAGCAGTTGGGCTGAGAGGGGTGTCTACGACAAATTTTGGGGCAACTGGCCTCTGCCCCCTTCTAATAAGTGTCCGCAGCAGACAGTCTGCCCTCACCCTGTTCCAGGGGTCACATGTCCACCCATGCCTCCCTTGGGGGTGTACACAGTGATATGAGCCACCCCTTCCCAATAAGCAACCCACAGCTCCATCCCACACCCTGTCCCACTCCCTCCCTTACTATGGAGGGGGGGGCCTCAATCTGCCCCCCACACACACACCCCTTCCCACCAACCAACTTACCAGCCAGACACTGCTCTCCAAGCTGCCAGGCTGCATATCGGCAATCAGACTGATACTGGCCAATATAGCTGGTTAATAATTGGCCATGAGTATCGGCCAAAAAAATCTCTTAGTGCACCCCTAGTTATCTACCAAAAAACTCATTCCAGATTCTCAGTACAAGACTTAGTCAATCTAGAGAGGTTCAGGAACTCCACACTACTTAAGCTAGCCAATGATACTCAGTGTCATTCCTGACCCACATGTAGCACTTCAACTTAACACCTGCAAACTCTTTGCAGAGAGCAAAGTCCCTCCAACCTCCCACAAAGACACATATGTACTAGGTATGCCTTTCCTACCATGCTGAAAAATGCAACACACTATCTCTATCAGTGTTAACTAACACACTGTAGTTTACTTTCTTTTGAACTAGAATATTTCCCATAATTCATATGGAAACATATATACTGATGTGGTTCACTGGTTAACACTGAGTGCTCATATGACTCCTCAGCCAGCATGGAGTGGTACAGGACTACGCACAACACCCCACTGAATTCAAATGTCCAATATTTAGTGCTAAGAGCCCACCCAGCATTGAATTACTAAGCATGGAGGAGGGGACATTAGAAAGCCAAGGATATTAGCATGAGCTCCAGCCTATACTGAACTATCTGGGTAATCTGGCAACACTTAGGGAAGCAGCTGCAGTATGGCAGGTTCAAGAGTACCCAAACGTACCAGGTTTGGAAAGTGCTGACCTTAGTGTTAACTAATAAAGAGAGGAAAATAAAGATCATTATGTCAATGTATTTTCATTTAATTCCTTACATTTTTTGGTGGAGAGATGGTCTTAAAAAAGGGATCGCTGTAGAAGCAACCTCTCCTCACTAGCATCAGGTCTTGTCAAATTAAGACATATAAGGAAAAGCCTAGCTTTCTTCTGTTAAAGGCATGGCAAGAACTGCCAAGGCCACCTGGTATCAAAGTATGAAAGGAGGGACTCACTGCTCCTACAGAAAACAGCAGGATACTCCACCCACTTATAAAGGACCACTGTTCCCCAGAAGGGTACTAATGTGAATAGTACAGCTTCCCTTAAACGGTCCTTAACAAAGCAGTTGCTCTTCCTTTATCCAGTCCTCTCCTATCCTATGATGCAAATGAACAGCTGGAGAAATAGAGCTGTCATCAGCCAAACACAGCTGTTCAAAAAAGCTTCTTTCCTTCCAATGCCTCTTTAAAAGGAATCATGGGCTATAGCAAACTCTTACCCTAATCCAGGGAGCCAACATTTTTGACAATCATGCTATAATTTAGGGTCACTCCCCCAAAGTGCCATTCTTGATCCCCTTCCTTTGCCTAATCTACAACTCTGCTTCCTGCTCCCTACCCTAGCCCCCTTCTCCTATGCTTTCTGATCCCTGCACTATGACCCCTGCTTGATTTCCTGCTCCACTTTCTGCTTCCTCCCCCATTTGCTGCTGTGCTGCTTGTCCCCTCCTTTATCTACCACATGCCATGCACAGAAGCTTTCCATATCACTGTGTGGCACTCATGTAACAGGTTGGCCACCTCTGCCCCAATTAATCCTTCACTGTACCCACACGGCCGTTGAGAAAATGAACTGCTCTTTAGCACCCAGATTTAAAAAAAAAGAGCAAGCTCATCAAGAGAAACCTTCAAGAGAAGACAAAAGCTGAAGTAGAAAGATTATAAAACTTGGCAAATATTGGATCATTAGTATACACATATCACTTCTACTTGTTTTTTAAACAAGAAAGCCATTCACAAATAAAATAACTTTTGTAATATTTCCAGTACTAAAATGAACTGTTTATCCAATCAATACTTTTTCCCAAAAAACTTTTTTCTTCCCCAAATCACCCACAATTTCTCCCCCCCACACAACCCTCCCGCTTTATATGGTCTTGCCCTGAATTTCCCAAGTTACATTTTTAAGGATCATTGCTGTGGAAACCACATGCCTGTATTGAGATCATGCATTTTACTGCTTTAGGCTCTTTAATCAAAAGTCATTGCACATTAATAAGGGGAAGGAACAACCTAACATAGTTAATTTTTAAAACAAATTAAAAATTTTTCAGGTATTAGATATACCATTATGTGGGGTTTTACAAACACTTTTTTTTTACATTTTTTTTTCTCTTCTATGTTGTAAACGTCTAATCTTCAGACAAATATTATGGTTTTCAGCAATCCTAATGATGTAAATTATTTGTAAAATGAGTAAAGAACAATATTTTTTCCCTTGAATATTTTAGCCACAGTAATTTAAGACAACTTGGTAAGAAAAAGTAAATAAAATATTGTTTAAGCTTTCAATTAAAAAATTTCAAAATGAACTTTTCAAATAACTAACCCAGTAGGAACTCTAAATTATTAATACAAAAGCAAGCTATAAATAAATACCCACTTAATAAAGCATTTAGTGGCTGAGCTATTTGGAAAAATACCCTAAGCCTAGCCAAGTCACTGGAAATGTGTGTGAAAAACACATTTATCTAAAAATTATGTGGAACAAAATACCTTTGTTTTCCAGAAGCAGAATGCATTATTAAGAGTTTACTTATTAAACATCACAGAAAGCCAACTACATTGTGACAGAAGGGCTATATAGCAGTTGTTCATGCCCAAAACTTTTAAATAAGATAGACTTCATGATGCTTTTAGAACTTTAACATTCTAAAAATGACAAGGGAGACCATTCTGGTATGTCAAGGTGGAATGTAAAACTGCTTCGCATCCAATACAGCCTTTTGAGAGAATTAAAAAAAATTCCACAGCATTTTTTTCAGTATAAGCGCACATAGCCAGTTTCCCCTCTTTCCGTTACTTTGTATTGTGGTGGTTCTTTTCCACACCAAGGGTTCAGTGTTTATTAGTGTGGCCTGTCAAAAGCACTAAGATCTTCTGTAATGAAAAAGGCAATGTTGGTTTAAAACATAATTCAATTAGATAGAAAAAAAGACCCCTCCCCCCACCTCACCCCCAAATGTCAGAACGTGTTCCTTTGATTGTCTATATGGTTAGACTCCAAAATTGGGCTCCAAAGCAAAAAAGAATTTTCAGTTACAAATACAAAAAATAGTTCCCAATGCACACAGTTATGTCCAGGGGAGAAGGCCAGAGATGTGCAGTGACAGTTATTCATGTCTATCATAATATGCAAATTTTAACTTGATTCAAGCTAGGAACACATGCAACATTCAAAACAGAAAAGTAAAAAATCTCTACCACTGGAATCTATGAAGCTACTCCAATATGCTTAATTACTACCACTGTATTGCTTTGAGTATAAATGTGTTGGGTTTGTTTTTTGGGTTTGTTTGTTTTTTTGTTTTGTTTTGTTTTTTTTAAGTATTTCTTCTAAAATAGCTATATTTTAAATCTGAGTTAAAAAGAAAAAAAATGTCTTATAGACACCACAGAACTTCTAGCCTTGTACATTTCTCTTCATCTGACACCTTCTGTCCTAAAAATTAAGTGTTAAATTTGAAGACATACAGCATTTAGACTGTGTCAAAACAAGACTGTGGCCCTGGTACCACCTTTTAATCTGCAGAAGTGTGTACTGCACTTGATTTTAAGATATTTGTCTGAAAATAGTGTAACTTCAGTAGAAGTACTACCCCTGTCTCTATTATGCATTTTATTAAAGGGCCAATCATCTAACAAAACCTCTGAAACTTTTACCACCATACACAAATAATATACAATCAATATACTACACATAAAATAAATTGTGAGAAGAACAGATTATCTTTACACTGAGTATCTGATTTTTACCTTGCCTCATCAGCATTAACTGATGTTCATGTCTAGCTGCTTCCATTTCTGCCTCTAGTTTCTCTTTGGCTTCTCTAATGTTTCTGTCAACCTGTTCACGTTGCTGTTTTTCCATCTCATCAAGAGCCTTCCACCGTGAAGCATACTCAAACTCAAAAGTTCCAGGCTGAGCAAAACGTGGAGGCTGTTCTCTTTCCCTAATAAATATATGAGCAGTTAAATGTAAAGAGAGATATATATATATTTTTTGTCTGTTTAGGAGTACTAAATATACTCCTAATGATGCATTTCAATTAATATATTTCTAATTTCAAATCAAATGGCCAAACATAAGACTAGTTGTTTTCCAAATGTAAATCTTAAAACTGCACATTAGCACTGTCGAGGTCACCCTGCATGACCGAGTAAAAATTTAAATAAAGGATAAATATGAAACCAAATAAAACCCCCACATAATTATATCTTATTATCAAATACTTTGTTTCATGTTTAAATACTGAAAATATCTGATGCTTTAGTAGAAAGCTCTGAAATTTATCTAACAACTATCAGGCGTCTACAGCAAGAAGCTGCATATATGACTTACGAATAGGGACCTACTTAATTTGCAGTTTTCACTGAAACCGTGAAACCGGCAGTCTTTGCAATCCCCGGAAAATATTCCACCAGCTACAATTTTCTGCAAAATCAACACCCCCCTTACAAAAAACAGTGTATTATTCATATTCTAATATGAATACGCTGTTTAGATTCTCCTAATCCTTACCACAATACTTAAGACAATGCAGCAATCCCTATAGCCACTCTCACATGCTTGAGACTTATTGACTGTCTGCAGTGATGGCAGGGCCTCTCTGCCAATCAGCAGTGATGGCAGGGCCATCGGGAAATGCCCACATTATCAGCCCTTCATGCCATGAGCAAACTATGGAAATGGCTCTCTCTGACCATGAGTTAAGTAGGTCCCTACTTATGAAGCTGAATGCATCAAAACTTGCTACAGTACTAAAGTATGACTAGACATCTTTAAAAGCTAACACTATCTTTTCAGTTGACAATATACTTTCTAACAAAATACTTGTGCAACTGTAAAATTAAAAGGCAACGTACAAAAACAGGTATCACATATATCATTTGTAGAAAAAGTTATTCTGTTCTTGCAAGCCTGATTAAAAGCATTCTGCCTCCAGCAACCAACTTTTCTGGATGCACAAGTTTCAAAATCAAAAGATGTATTTATTGATCAGTGATAAATTAAAGAACCTTTGTTCTACCTGGCATTTAAAGTTATACAGCTGCTTATGTCGCATGCATCACTGCAGTAGCTAAGACCCTGTTCTACAAAGACACGCACACATGCTTAATTTAACAGTTAAATTTAACAAAAGTTGAATGAACTGTTCATAGGATTTAAAAGTAAGCATGAGGCAAACAATCCTCTGCAGTATCATGGCCCGAATACCTATAACTTGAGGTTGCATTTCACAAAGAGGAAGTCCTCACATCTAAATATCAATGAACCAATTATATCAATGATTAAACTTTAATTATTAAACAATTCTATCAATGGTTATATCAACGTTACTGATGTTCTTTTCACTACCTGAACACACGTCAAGGCAAAGTATAAGAGATTCTTGCCTACCAAGCCGAACTAAAATGGATGACCATATACCCAACTTACTTATGATATTGTTGTGTTTTTTGCATTAACTTCTCTGGCAGTCCATCTTCATTGTCGAACTGTTCCATAGGTTCTACAACCACAGGGCGAGGCGTTCTGAAATAAATGTTTTAACCAATGAAATCCACGTTGAAACAGGTAACCATGTAATATTTTGAAAATACATCCTAAAAAAGTCTTACGTCATGTAAACATCAATTCCTTCAAAAACATTTTGTTAGCAGCAAATCTGCCTTGCAAACAAGCCACTTACTTTGCGTGGAAAACATTATTGCCTTTTTTCTGTGGCCTATTTGGCTAATAAAATTAACTAACTAATTAATCTAAAATCTACGTAAAAGAATTAAACTCTTTGAGGCAAGAAGCATTTTTTAACTTTCACTTAAAAAATGTTTCTAGCTCTTATACTGACAAATTAAACCTCTTAAATAAAACCAGATGGGTTATGTTCCCGAGTCTGCTCATGGTTAACTTCAGTGCTTCTACTTATAGTTTTACCAAGCTGCAGTGGAGTAAAAACAAACCAGTAAAACTGACCAAACTCTGATTACTAAGAACTCCAGAGGCAGGAATTAAATCAGTAAGAATCAAAGTAACTATGGATAATTCTGAAAGAGTAGAAAATGGATAAAAAATATGGGTGAATAATTAAAACTGCAATCAAACCGATAATCTATGCAAGAAAACACTATCATTAATCATTTAGACTTACGCATGTTAATCTATTGTTCGTAGCAGTCCTGCACCCATCTGCAGGTATAGAAAACTGGGGGGGAGGGGAGGATAGGTTCATATGCCTCCCCAGCATCGACTGTACTTCAGAGCCCCTTCCCTTCCCCACTCCTCTCCTCACTGCAGGTGGGGGGCAGCAGGTCAGGAGTGAGGGACAACAGCGGGGGCACAGATGTAGCTGAACCCACATCATGGTGAGGAAAGGGAGCAAGGGGGGCTCTAATTTTCCATGATAAAAAAACTCACAATCAAATGTCAAAATATATATTTAGAATTTATTTTATTATAATGAATGAAGCACTGGTAGGCTTACAAATTGCTTTGAAGCAGAGATTCACTGATGCATCAGTCCAATATCAGACCAGCACTGATATAAAGAAACTTGATCATATTGAAAGTCGGCCTGATGTGGCTGATAATTTGGCGGATAAATGCCCAAGCATGCACGCAGCCACAACACAGCACATAAGCAGTGAGGAGCACAGGCCGGCAACTTGGACAAGCATAGTGCAGCTGGTATGTCTGGTGTAGTGGGAGGGGAGGGGAGAGGGAAAGGGCATGGGGGAGGCAGATTTAGGCCCCCTGCGATGAGGGAAAAGTGGGGCTGGAGTAAGTGCTGCCCAGCCAGGGTGGGCACGAGACAGAGCTGCTGCACACTGTTGGTGTAGCACTCACCCACTTATCCAATAACTCCCACCGCTGCTTCTGCCGCTGGTCCGGGAGAGCATGACCCCACCCCATGTGCCCCCAGATCTGCATGGGGTGGGACAGGATGAACCTCGCACAGACCCAGTCCAAGCCCGTCCTGCGCAGATCCGGGGGCATACTCCCCTCCACCCTGAATGCCCTACTGGACGAGCACTGGACTAGCGACACGCAGCAGCAGGAGCTGCCCCCCAACCTCCCTGGGGCTCCATCCTGTGCTGGACAGCACTTGCCCCTCCCCGAGCCACAGTCCTCCCTCACCGTGGGGACCTTAATCTGCACCCCCATGCTCCTTCCTTTCCCCCACGCAGACTTACCAGCTGCACACAGCTCATCCAAGCTGTTGGGCTGGTATCAGAAACTAGTATCATCTGATACACCTCCTTTAAAAATCAGCTATCAGTATCAATGCATCCCTACTTTAAAGTTGTATATCAATAAAACATTGTATCCAACTGAGGCCTATATATTTTTAGTGGTGTTTCATTTTAATTGCAGAAGAATGTGGGCTTAATCAGAGAATTTGGGAGGGTTTTAATCAAAGAATTTGGAATTTTTAAACAGACAAAACCAGGATCCCTGCTAATGAGGCAGTTTTCTCCACATTTAAATACATTCACAAAAATTAACCGGGGGGTGGGACGGACCCTTAAAAACTTACGTGGTCAGTAAAAATGCCCCATCGTTGCATCTTTCTAGAGCCTTCCGTGCTGGAGGCTTTGCTGCAAACTCCACAAAACCTTTCCCTGTAGCTCTACCACGGTCATCTACTACAACCACAGCTCTCTCCACTGGGCCAAACTGAGAGAAGGCTTGTTCCAGTAGTTCATTGGAAACCACAGGTGAAAGATTCTTGATTGTTAAGGCAGCTCCATGTGTAGCAAAACGAATTCTAAGTGGTCTGCTCTTCAAAATCGTACCATCAAGTTCTGCCTTTGCTATTTCAGCAAGTGTCCTAGATTCCTTTTTCAAAGGGAAAAAACAAAAAAACAAAAAACGCACACATTTTATGCACAATCCTATTCCATTTTCTACAAAGTACTTTGCCCTTTAAAACATTTTTATTTTAAATGTGTTAAAACTGAGGGGGAATGCTTCAACATTGAAAGTACACTCTTCTCAAAGAAGGATGTTTGTGCACAAAAGCTTGCAAAGAACAATTTTTTCCAACTATTCAGTTGGTCTATAAAAAAGATATCACATTTACCCAAAGGACTTCATCTGCTAATGGGCATTTATACACATACATCTGTCTGCTCCGACATGCCGAAAATCCACCACATTGGAGCAGAGCACGTGAACTGACCAGTGCCCAGCACTGCACCACGTGTTTGTATCAACTGAGAAATGTGCACCAGCACTAAGAAAATGACAGTGTTGTGCTTGGAAATGAAAACACCTTCAATGTGTTTTAGTTCAAAAGGACACTGCCGCCATTTTCTCAGCCCTGATGTGCATTTCACCGTTTATATAAGTGTATGCAACTTAGCACCAGGCACTTTTAAAAGCTACAACCAATATCCTCTTCTCAGAGCTGTTTCAGATTACATTTAATTTTAGCAATCTGCATGTGGCTCCCCCACAATCTATTTAAAAAAATGCCTCTTAAATGTATGTTTTAGTTGTGTGAGCTACAGGAAATTCCCCACACCAAGACAGAAAAGAATTCAGCTGGTTACCTAAATAGTAAGATTTCAAATCTTTCTCTTTTTAGCACTTTTCTATTCATCATGTTTATGTGACCATTCCACATTCAAGGATTACACTCAGAGGGACTTACATACTCTAGTTCAGGGGTGGGCAAAATGCGGCCCGCCAGGCCATTCTATCTGGCCCCTAAAAAATTTAGAAAATGAGTATTTATCTGCCCTGGGCATGTCATACGGCCCTCAATGGGTTGCCAAAACTCAGTAAGCGGCCCTCCACCCAAAATAATAGCCCGCCCCTGCTCTAGTTCTTCTTCAGGTCCCATAAATATTTCTAAATTTTTTTCTCAAATTGGACAGTGCCTTACAGTGGCGACATGTAGGGGGTGCACCCCCTGAGAGTGCTGGTGCACCCTGACAGGCCACGCTCCCCACCTAGGTGATAGGCAGGTAGGAGCACCAATGACACACTGCAAGCGCCAGATGAAGCACCACAGCCACTTCCCAGTCAGCACAATTGGCTACAGGGGACCCCCGTCAGCAAGATTGGCCGCAGTCACTGACTGGTCGTTAGGGAGAGCATGTGCACCCCAACCCTGACTAAAGTGGCACCAGTTGCCCATGGTGCCTTGGAAGAATGAAGGATTTTAAAATTCACAGGGAGCTCCTTTTTTTTTTTTTTTTTTAAAGTTAGCATGGTTAGTTATTATCTACTGCAAGTACTGATTGAATCAGTACCCTTCCTAAATCAACACAATCTATATTTTAGAAGTAAACTGCTTTAGATTCTCTTGAGATTCTTTATTGTAGCTTCTGTACTTCCCAGTTTTACTTTAAACAACTACTATTTGCTCACTGGTTTTCATCCTTTGTCCACTCTAACCCACAAAATCAGCCTTCCCCAACATCCTCTTTTCTTAGTTGGAACTTCTTTCACTTATGCTGAATATTCTTCTGCTAAAAGAGCCATTCATCAAGCCATGGCAACAGGATGGTGCTTCCTCCACAGCCCATGAAAAATAATTCAGATAACTAGATAAACTCCTAAAGGGCAACGTGAGTTGCTTCATCCCTCAATGTGCCTAGAAACTGCCCATCAGCAAAACAAAAGAAATGTATTTTATCTTATATTATAAATTGGGAGGGGGGACAGACTATACAAGCCAACACTTAAAAGCACACAGGCAAATAACAGTTAGAAAACTTACAATATAGGTGGCTTAAGAAAAACAAGTCTTAACTACTGAAAGGTAGAGGGGCAATTAAGGAAGCCAAACAACCTTAAATTCCCACCTGCCAGCCAACTGTGTGTATATTAACTATACCAATAGAGGGCCAGCAGGCTCCCCTCTCTGATCCCCTTCCTCTGCCTGATCTGCTGTTCTGTTCCCTCCTAGATCTGTTCTTTTAGCTTCCTTTCCTACCAGCTCCCCTCCCTGATCTGCCAGATGCTGCACACAAAGCTACCCCAATGCCACTTCTGTTCCCCGTGTGGCAGGCTGCCCATCTCTACTCTATCCCTTGTAAACTGTACACAGAAACAGTCATGACAGCATTGACTAATTAAAACTAGAGGCAATTCCTTATGGCTGGGGAGGAACAGAGGATTGAAAGAATGTTTGGGTTGTTTTTTTTAAACACATTCAACTGGAAATACCAGAACACACGTTTTAAACAGAAACTATCCCCATGAGCATCCCAGGCCATTCGGGGTATTTGCAATTAAACACCACAAGGCTTTCAGACCTCCACGCCGGTCCTTGCTTTCGTGGAGATCTTAGCAGCGTATGTGGAAACCACAAGCACAGCTGGCTACATGGGACCATACCTGTGCTCTCCAGGGTTGGGCCAAACAGGCTGCACCAAAAAAAAAAAAGGGGG